GGACTGGTCATTAGAGAACCATTTGAGATTCTGTTTTATTTGTATTTTGTTATATTGGGGCTTTATAAAGCATCAAACTTAAAATTTACTTTTCTTTTAGGTACATTTATTGTTTAGGTCAAATACCTATATATTCAGTAGACCAACAACACTACTTTTTATAATGTCAGATAGTCTCTTGTTCATAGTGTTAAATACAGTTAAGAAATTAGTTTTTCTATTTGTATTATAAGGACCACAAAGCAAAGTACTTTTTGGGGGGGGTAGATCTGATGAAAGCTTCTGAAAGTTGACTTGGGATACAAGGCAGATTGTCAACTTTGTTATTGAAGAGTAGGTAGTAGTTTCAGAGCCTCTAACTGTCTCAGAGTAAGTCTTGAAAAGAGCTCCCTCGATGAAAATATCTACCCAATATATTGTTCCCTTTATTCTCACTTTAGTAAGTTCGCTTTGGAAAATCTTATATTTTATTATAAAAATATCTTCTGAGCAAGTTAAGCTTTTCTCAAAATCTTTAATGCATTTATTATCATTTGAAACTATTTGTTGGAAAATGACAGTTTAGAAGCACTACTTCCCTGAAAGCTGGGAGAGAAAAACCTTTAATAGGCAAATTTTGTCTGTTTTTCCATAATCACCAGCATCTATCTCTTATGCCACCGAGAATCATGGTATTTGAACATACATTGTAGAATATACCAGATGTCTCTTCCTTGAATTGATTTAAAATTTTCAAGTCCACTCTATGTGCTGATTGTTAAGAATCTGGCAGGGTATAGCTAATTAAAAAAAAAAATCTGTTTACTCTATATCCCATCTTCTTAAAAAATTAAACTTTTTATCTTGGTATGATTATAGATTGATATGCAGTTGTAAGAACTAATCCATAGAGAACTTGTGTACTTTTTATCCAGTTTACTCAGTGGGAACATCTTGGATAACTGCTGTTTAATATCACATCCAGGTTATTGATATTGATACAATCTACCAACTTTAGTCAGATTTTGCCAGTATTGTATATTTGTACTTTTCTCTGTGTGTGTGTTCATGTTTGTTCTATACAGTTTTATCACATGTCTGTGTATTTACCACCACAGTCAAAATATACAATTTCATCACCACAAAGATCCCTCATGTTGCTTTTTTATAACCATACCCTCCTTCCTTTTGCATGGGAAATTTTGTTTGTTTTGCTTTAAACTTTATAATCATTTATGATCTTAAAATAATTATCTTTTAATTTATATCCATGCTTTTAAAATTTTTATTTATTCTTTTAAAATTTTTTATTTATTTATTTATTTATTTTATTCTTAATGTTGTAAGAAACATATCTGATGAGACAACTCACTGTTTTCTCTACCTTCACACAGAGCATTTCTGTGCCAATATTTGTGGGTTTTTTTTTCCATACTGAGTAATTCTCCAGGATGACAACTGGAGAATTCAATTCAATTCAATTCTGACACCATCTACCCGTAATTAGCACTGATCTCACAAGTTAAGGGCTCAGTCCTACAAACTATTCTCACTTCAGACACCCATATTTCTGACTGGCTATAAATTGGGGGTCCCTATGACCACCTCCTAAGTTTTCATAATTTGCTAGAATGACTCATAAGAATAGAAGAAACACTTAAGTTTACTGGTTTATTATAAAGGTTACAACTTAAGAATAGCTATGTGGAAGAGATATGGGGCAAGGTATGGGGGCAAATAGTAGACTTGGAGCTTCATGTTCTCTGGACACAAAACCCTACCAGCACCTTCGGTGTTCAGCAACCCAGAAACTTACCCAATTTAGTAATTCAAGAGTTTTTATAGAACTTGATCTTCAGCATCCCCCTTTCACCTCCTCCCTAAATGTCCATGGGTGGGACTGAAAGTTCTAACCTTATAATCACTTGACTTTCTGGTGACCAGTCCCATCCTGAGGACCCCACCCTAAGTCACCTCATTAGCATCAACTCTGGTAGATCAAAAGAGACTTATTATACATAACAAAATATATTTCTATTATTCAGGAAATGTCAAGGGTTTTAGGAGATTTGTATCAGGAACCAGGGACAGAGACTGAATAGGTTTCTTATTATACTAGAACATATAAAATTTATCATTTTAAGTGAACAGCTTGATAGTATTATGTTGACATTTTTGTGCAACAGACATCTAGATCTTCCTAATCTTGCAAACCTAAACTCTGTACCCCTTAAACAACAAATCCCCATTTTCCCCTCCTCCAGCCCTTGGAAACCACCATTCCTACTTCCTGTTTTTATGAATTTGACAAAATACCTTGTATTCATAGAATCATGTAATATTTGTTCTTTTGTGACTGGCTTATTTCACTTAGCAAATGTCCTCAAGGTCTATTCTTGTAGGATATGCCAACCTAAAAGAAAGAAACAGGCAAAATTAATGTAAGTGGAGAGTTTATTTGGGCCAAGCTTGAGAATTGCAAGCTAGGAGCATAGATTCATGTTGTCCTGATTATGCACTCTGATTAGCAGCAGTTACAAGTTGATTTCTAAAGGCAGAAAGGGAGACAGGAATTTGCCCGATACAAAATTGTCAGGAATTCTCACTGGTTTATAGAAGTAATATTTATTGGTGGTTTAGTATAGTGCCATTTAACACTATTAGGTCATTTGTGGTAATAGCAAGCAGTTTCAAGAGAGGAATACTAGATCAAAGGGAGGACATAGTAGGACATAGTTATGGTCTCATTTAATGCCTCTCTGGCTTTGACAATTAGCAGGACTTGCAGATAAAGTGTTTTTCTTTTTTCACATGTGACAAGATTTCCTTCCCTTTTGAAACTATGATTTGCCATTGTATGTATACCGATGTTTTGTTTTTCCATTCATCTGCTGATATGAACAGTTTAGCTGCTCCCATCTCTTGGCTATTGTGAATAATACCAGTGTGATTGTGGGTGATTCTGCTTTTAATTCTTCTGGGCATATACCAAGAAGTGGATTTATTGGATCATTTAGTAATTCTGTTTTTAATTTTTTGAGGAGCCACCATACTGTTTTTCATAGTAGCCGTACCATTTTGCATTTCTACCAACAGTGTATATCTATACTTTAGATATTTGGATAATCAGGTTTTAATTCATCCATTTTTGTTTTCTTTATTTCATGGTTATTTTATCAACTTTTCTTTTACACTCGATAGAGAGCGAATACCTAATACAAATCACAGATGAGATACTTTGCACCATAGAGCATTTGCATAGGCGGGGTGCGGTGGCTCACGCCTCTAATCCCAGCACTCTGGGAGGCTGAGGTGAGAGGATTGCCTGAGCCCATGGGTTTGAGACCAGTCCGGGCAACTTGGTCAGACCTCATCTCTACGATAAATCAATAAAATTAGCTGGCTGTGGTGGTGCATGCCTGTAGTTTCAGCTACTTGGAAGACTGAGGGGGAAGGATCACCTGAGCCCAGCAGGTAGAGGCTGCAGTGGCTATGAGTGTGCCACTGCACTCCAGCCTGGGCAACAGAGTGAGACTCCAACTCAAAAAAAAAAAAGCATATCAAGGATGATCCTTTAGGTGACAGCTAAACATTTTAGAGTCAGCTTTTTCAGCTATAGGTAACAGAATCCTTATGTGAATTGGTTGACATAAAAAGAAGATTTGTATTACAAGGACACCAGGATATAAAATTAAATCTAAGGGTAGTAATGTGTCAGAGCCTTACGAATCACTGGTAAGGGACTTGGTTGTCTCTTGTCTTTGATGGATCTGTTTTTCTTTCTTCCTGTATTGTGGCTTGTATCATGTGATGATGAAATTGATTTCATAAATCCTGAGTCTTTTGGCTTCAGCCACTCAAAGATCAAAGATCAAGGACACTTAATTGGCCCCAATCCAGAATTCCCAGGAAAAAGTAACAGTTAGCCGAGCTTGGATCAGTTGCCTTCCCTATCATACCTCACCGCAAGTATGGTCAGTGAGATGGAGTCAACACAAGGACATCTGTGGGAACTCTATGGATTGATTGGGAAATAGCAGAGTAGCCAGAAGAAAAAGTAATAGAAGCAAGAGAGACAGAAAGAAAGGTGTACTCAGCCACAGGACATAAATTGAGATGTCAATGAATGATTGAGGGCACATTGAAGAAAGAATAATGGAGCTTGAAAAGTTTTGGGCAAGGAATATTAGGATGACTAGAGGCAAAGGAATTAAAGAAAAACTCTGATTCTTTCTAATACAAAGGTGAGGACCATGAGAAGAATTACCTGAAATTCTTAAAGTCATAAAAGGTAAAATCATCAACTGATTTTTGGAATGATTTGAATTGGGGGAAAGCTTAAAAATATCTTAATACTGGCTAGGCGCGGTGACTCAAGCCTATAATCCCAGTACTTTGGGAGTACGAGACGAAAGGATTGCCTGAGCTCAGGGGTTTGAGACCAGCCTGGGCAACATGGCAAGACCTTGTCTCTACATAAATTAAAAAATTAGCTGGGCATGGTGGTACATGCATACAGTTCCCACTACTTGGAAGGCTGAAGCAGAAGGATCACCTGAACCCAGCAAGTCAAGACTACAATGGCTGTGAGCATGCCACTGCACTTCAGCCTGGGCTACAAAGTGAGACTCTGACTCAAAAAAAGTCTAATTCTGCTATTAAGTATAGAAATAGAAAATTTTATCTCAATAATTCACTTTTATAATTTATTCTAAGAAGTTTACAAACTTATAGGAGTTTATTATAAAATTGATGGATGACAGCTATATAATAGGGAACATTTAGAGGAAATTATAGCCTTACCTTTTGAAGTAATGGAGGGAATTATTTCTCCATCAAGCATTAGTGATGATATTAATCCTTATAGTTTATTTAGTACTACTGTGCGTCAAGTACTGTGTGAGGCATTTTTATATGTATTCTGTCACTTCCCTCAACTTATAGGTGCTTACTGTTTGTTAAACTGAATTTTTTAAAGTTATATTTCAACAGAATGACTAACCCTTTACTTTTTCTTTCAGAGATGTGGTACTGGATCTTCCTCTGGGCTCTCTTCTCCTCTCTGTTTGTCCATGGTGCTGCAGGAGTCTTGATGTTTGTGATGCTACAGAGGCATAGGCAGGGAAGAGTAATCTCTATCATTGCCGTCAGCATCGGATTTTTGGCTTCTGTAACTGGAGCAATGATTACCAGTAAGTTTATTTAGTTTCGTTTAAAAATATAATTTTATGTATTTTGATTGCTATAGTCTTATTTTAAGTGAAACAGGGTAGTCTTTTGGGTGGAATATTTTCCAGCATGGTACCCACTCTAGCTAGAGTTTAAATATAAATTTATTCATCCAACAAATAGTTGTACTTCTTCTATGTGGAGACTCATTTTGTGGGAAATAGAACAATTCGTAAAACTTGGCAAGAGGCAAATCAGTTCAATGGGAAAATTTATCTTTTAGTGATTGTAGTTTCTACTTTAAAGTTGCTAACTAGTAAGAAAGGTCCAAAATGTGACAGTGTTAATTATCATAAATGGGGGAAAATATAGTTCTCAGGTCTTTGATGTCATCTGCCTATGATTGCAAAATAAAAAGCACTTTCTTCTTATACACAAATTATTATGACATAGATCTTCCCTGGCCTTCTAGAAATGAGCCACTTTAGGCGCTCTGTAGTGTTTTGCAAGTTTTCTGCTGTGCTGCCTCATGAGCATTTTCATTCAAGTCCTCAAATTCATTCCCTCTAGCCTTCTCCCCTTGACATTGTACTGAGGCCCCAACTCCAACCTTGGCCTCCTAGAGTGAGTTATGGTTTCTGCTGCTGCTAGTTGAGCAGAACTTCGGTATATCCTGCTGAGTCTAGAGAGTGCCACAGCTGTTCCCTTAGTGTGGCTGTGGCAGAAACCAACTTCTTTTCTTTGGTGCTGTTTATTCTGTTAGTGCCAATGAATAAAGGCTTACATTGACCTTTGCTTGTGTCTGGGGCAGCTCACTGTTACCGCTGGATCTGTTTCAGGTCCCTTGGAAAGGAACTTTTTCCTTTCTAGTTGATTCTTGCCTCAGAGATAAGAAGAAGGCCGTATCTTTATAGTTGAAAGGCCTTCCTCCTTCACCTTTTCCGGAATGATTGACATCCCTTGTCTTGGGAGGAAATTCCCATGTCTCTTGGTATGTCCTGTGGCACTAATAGACAATCATAAAAATCTGTTTCCTATCCTTCATTTACTACTGGTTTTACTGTGTTAATCTTGTGTTAAGTTGTTATAAGTGCTTTTGTTGTTTCTGCACTCACCTTTAACTTTATCATGTGGTATCTCATGCATTTTGCCATAGACAGGGTTTAAACAGGTACTTGGGATTAGCTGAAGTATGAGGGGACACCCCCAAAAATGGAACTATCTTTTGGAGGATGGGCCCCTTGTAGTACATGGGAATTTGTTCCTCCAGATGCAATGGTCAACCAAAGTTTTTATCTGGAGGTTTTGAGAAGGTTGCCTCACAATTTATGGAAGAAATGTCCTGAGTTGTGGCAAGCTGGTGAGTCGTTCTTCTTACCATGGCAATGCATCTGCCCAAATTGTGCTTGAGTGTTCAGTAGTTTTTGACCACAAACAGCAATGATCCTGTACCCCACTTTCCCTATTCATTTGATCTCACCTCGAGTGACTTCCTTCCCAACCCCTTCACCCCCCACGATAAAAAAAATTCCTTAAATGGAAACATTTTGCTGATGTGGAGCAGATGAAACAAACAGCAGAAGCACTAAAAGGCATCCACATTGATGAGTTCAAAAACCGTTTTGAACACTGGAAAAGCATCTCAATGTATTGTGTATTGCATCAAACAGTACTCTGAAGGTGACTGAAGCATATAAGAATAAATGCACAAGTTTTTATATGATGGAGTGAGCAGATTCAGCTGAAAAGGTAGGAGTCAGATCCTGGATGGTCTTGGAAAGCCAATTGGGAAGTTTGAACTTTTATCCTGTTGGCTCTAGAAAACAAGTGGATATTTTTAAATGGAATTGGGAAAGGACAGAGAAGTTAAATGGGAAATTTTGTTTTGTAGTTCAATGTAGAATATATGTAAAGAACCAAGAGAAGACCCTGAAAGAGCCAGGGACCTGTCTTCATCACTGCTGTATCCCCAACAATAAAATAAATACTCTACCTGGAACATAGTAGATACTCAAAACATACTGGTTAGATGGATAGAAGGAGTGATAAGTGGGTGAGAGAAGGAGGGAGGATAAAGGGGAAGAAAGAATAATTAAAAAGCATTAACTGTGGCCGGGCTTGGTGGCTCTTGCCTATGATCCCAGCACTTTGGGACACCAAAGTGAGAGGATTGCCTGAGCTCACAAGTTTGAGGCCAGCCTGGGCAACTTGGCAAGAGCTCATCTCTACAATAAATCAAAAATTTAGCTGGGCGTGGTGGCAAATGCCTGTAGTTCCAGCTCCTTGGAAAGCTGAGGCAGAAGGATCACCTGAGCCCAGCAGGTCAAGGCTGTGGTGGCCATGAGTGTGCTACGGCACTCCAGCCTGGGCAACAAAATGCCACTCGAACTCAAAAAAAAAAAAAGAAAAAAAAAAGAAATAGAAGCATGAACTGTAATCTAAACTCGAGGCCAGCATCTGAACCAGATTAATGTCTGTGGGCTGGGAAGGAAAAATTTGATGTAAGAAGTATGACAAAGGACAAAAATTTCAAGTCAGTTATTATTAACTGTGGCGGCATACAAAGAGATATGGAGGGGGGGTTGCCTGTGTTTTTGTTGTGGGCCATTGTTGTCATTGTGTAACTGAGAACAGAAAAGGGAGGAATAAGGAAAAGCTTGTTCAGAAGTTATAAATAATATGTATGTATATGTATGTATTGGCATATATTATTGTAAAACTATTTTAAAGAGAGCATGAGAAATATACTGCAATGTATCTTTAATGATGTGTATGTATATATAACCTACTTCTAATTCATTAAAGAATAAAATAAGGCAGTGACTTTAGAAGCTGCAATATTATATTTAAAAGTCCTTAAAAATATTAACCTGACACAATTTCAGGTAAAAATTTGTGTCTAAATTAGCAATAAAGCATGTGAATTTCTTCTGGGTAATTTTCTGACCTACAAACACTTGAATTAAGAAAACTAGCCAAAGAGAGATACTTAGTGAATACTTAGTTGTATTTATTATATTATTTAATGAAAGTTGTGAATACTAGTGCATTGATAACTTTAGATTCAGTTCAGCTAATGATTGCTGAGTATCTGTATTCAATAAGATACTGATGAAATATAGAAACATGTTTTACTATCTCTTTTTCATTTAGTATTGTTAGTTAGTGCCAGAATTAGGGGAAACTGGGTTTTTATATAATGCCTAATTTTAGCTGTTTAATTTTAGCCAGTCTAAAGGTGTAAAATGACATCTCATTGCTTGTTTAATTTGTATTTCTTGGATTACTAATGTGTTTGAGCATCTCTTTCTATATGTATTATATGTTTAGGTTTCCTTTTTTACAGATTGCTTCTTTAAATTTGGTGCTTTTCTTTTGGTGCCTCTTTTTTCCTTTCTTTCTTTCGTGTGTGTGTGTGTGTGTGTGTGTGTGTGTGTGTGTGTGTGTGTGTGTGTCAGGGTCTTTCTCTGTCACCCAGGCTGGAGTGCAGTGGCATGACCATGGCTCATCACAGCCTGGACCTCCTGGACTCAAGTGATCCTTCCACCTCAACCTTCCAAGAAACTGGGACTACAAGTGCATGCCACCACATGGCTAGTTTAAAAAATTTTTTTTTTTTTGTAGCGAAGGGTCTCACTATGTTTCCCAGGCTGGTCTTGAACTCCTGGGCTCAAGTGATTCTCCTACCTCAGCCTCCCAAAGTACTAGGTTTACAGGTGTGAGCCACCATGCCTGGCCTCTTTATATTAAATTTTCTTTTTATTAAATTAGGGGTGTTTCTTATATATTAAAATATTAGTCTCTTTTTGGTTTTGAATTTTGCAGATAACTTCTCTCAGTCTTTTTTATCAGTTATCATAATCTATGATGTCCTTTATTGAGCAGAATAATTAATTCTGATGTAATCAACTTAAAGAGTTTTTGCTTTATGATTTATAATTAAGGATTTTACTTAAGAAATTTTCTACCACACCAGGGTCAAGAGATATTCTGGTATATTTTCTTCTGTTAAATTTCTAGTTTTTCCTTTTGTATTAAGGTCTTTAGATCACCTATAGCAGGAGTCAACAAACATTTTCTTAAAGGGCCAGGTAGTAAATATTTCAGATGTTGCAGGCCAGTCGTCTCTGTTACACTAGTGCAAAAGCAGCCACAGACATATGTAAATTAATGGGCATGGCTTGTTTCAATAAACGTTTTTGTAAACTTTTTTTTTACAAAAACAGGTATCTGGTATTCAGGCCATAATTTACCCCTGGTCTAGGGTCTACTTTTGTTTTTGGAATTAGATAGGATTTCAGGTGTGCTTTTTTCCTTCAGTATAATAAGTCAATTTTTACCATACCATCCACTAAAAAACTCATCATTTCCTCATTGATTTTTGGTGCCACCTTTGTGATGTATTACATTTTCAGTGTACAGGGATCTGTCCCTGAACTCTTCTGATTCCTTGGCCTTTTTATCTGTTCTTTCAGCAGAGCCCCCCTCCCCCTTTTTTATCCCTATGGTTTTGTAGTATATCCTAATATCTGTTAGCGATAGGTTCCTCTTGTTACTTTTCTTTCTCAAAGTTAACTGAGCTATTCATGGACCTTTATTCTGAGTAGAAATTTGAGAGTATGTCTACTGAATTCCTCAAAGAGTTTGACAGTAACTTTTATTAGGATTTAATTGAATATAGAATTTAATTTGGGAATAATTGACATATTATGTCACCTCAAAACATATACTATTTCCATTTATTGAGATCATCTTCTTTGTTTTTTATCAGAGTTAAAAAAATTTTTTTTCAAGAGGAGGGTTGTATGTTTTTAGGTTAATTCTTAAACACTTGTTATCTTATGGCTGTCATATGTGGGTATCTTTTTTGACTATGGTATTTCCTTTTACTGGTGTGAAGAAATACTGTTATGTTTTGTAAGTCAGCCTGGGTCCTATAGTGAGGCCTCAACTCTATAAAAATAATCAGGAGGCTGAGGTGAGAGGATCGTTTGAACCTAGGAGGTTGAGGCTCCAGTGAGCCATTATCATGCCACTGTTCTTCAGCCTGGGCAACAGAGCAAAGCTCTGTCTCGTAAAAAAAATTGTAAATTGTGTTTATGAAAAATTAACAAAATCTGGTTTCTTGGAGAGATAAAATCAATAGACTGCTGGCAAACTAATTAAGAAAAAAGTTAAGGCAGACAAGTAAAATATAGAAGAAATAATTCTCAACAATAGAGATGAAATTGACTTATAGAAACAAAATGGTTTTATGAACAGCTATATATTCCTAAATATAAAACATCAAAATTGACATTAGAAAGTATGAATAGAACAGTAATTATTTTTAAACAATTAGCATATTAAAGACCCTTCTTCCAAAAAAAATCTCCATGCCCAAAAGAGGTTTACAAGTGAGTTCTACCAAATTTTCAAGGAACAGTGAGTTCCTATTTTATCTAAATTCTTGCAGAAAATAGAAGGAATAAAAGCTGTACACAGCTTATTTGCAGAGACCAGTGTAATCCTATTGCTAAACAAGATAAAGACTGTACCAGAACAGAAGAGTACAAGCTCATTTACCTTGTGAATGCTATCCTTGGAATGCAAAGATAGTTCAGTATCGGAAATTAGTGCAGTTATATTTCAATAAAACAATTTTAATGATTACTAAAATCTGAATTTGTATAATTTTATGTATTGTGAAGTATTCTCTTGGTCTTTAAAAATTATTTAAAAATATAAAAACCATTTTTAGCCTATCTGTTCTGTAAAAACAGATGGGTAGACCAGATTTGATCTGCTGATTGTAGTTTGCTGATCCTGGACTAACTACACAAACTGGTAGCATCAACACACTATTAAAACCAATTTTCCCCTTATGTTTATCATTTGCTTTCAGTCAGGAAATATGCAGGGCAAATTACGTTCCTTTTCATTGGTATACACTTCTGCAGGGACTTTATATTGATGTATATTAACATTTTTCTGTCTACTGATGACTCCTGTCCCATTCTCCTTTGTCGTTGTACATTTATCTTTTACTCACCTTTAGATAAGTTCATCAGTATTGCTTTATCCACTTCGTTTAGCATCTTTTCTTATTTTTAATTGATTGTGTTCACCATTGTTCATAGTGACAATTCCACATGTCATTTATTTCGACACCATATCCTACTTCTGTCTTCTTCATACTTACGTGTCTTAGCCTCATAGATCACCAAGAAAGTAAAGACCTTAATTTACTCTTTCAGCTGGCTGTCTTTTGGCTGAGCAAAAGACACCTTAAAGAGAGTAAAAATTAATGTATAAATTGGGGGAAGATATTTGTTAATATGCATAAATATAAAAGATTAATTTCTAGACTATATTTGGACAGGATCAGGCACATTCAGGGTGGTATGGCCATAGACCAGACTATATTTTGAAAAAAGCCTGTGACTCAAATAATAAAAGAAGAAATGGACAAAGATTTGACAGTAGTTCTAATGGCCAGTTAACATGTAAAGAAAACCATAATTACATTAATTACCAGGGAATAGAAAGTTATTAAGAGAGATAAAATTTCTTACCTACCAGATTGGCAATTTTTTTTTTTCCTGGAGTTTGTGCTTTCAGGGTATTCCCTCTGGGGGCAATTTAAAAAAAAAAGATTATCACCTGCTTCTGAGCATTTAGAGTAACTGTAGTATAAATTAGTACAACTAAATTGGAAAAATAATTTAGCATTACCTAGGAAAGTTAAACATGCCCATACCATAGGGTTGAGCAATTTAACTTTTACCCATGAATCATGGAGAAACTCTTGACTGCATATGTGTGCCAGGGGTCATGAACAGGAACATTCGCAGGAGCAGTTTTTGTGAGTGTAAAGGGTTGGAACAAAAATATTGTCGGCAGTAGAATGGATAAATAAGATGTGGTATATTCAGACAGACTTGGAATTCTATATAGCAGTGAACACGAGTAAGTTATAGTTACATATGAGGGGCCATATTCATTCTCTGCTATAAGCATATTTATGCCCTGCTATTTTAAATCAAGAATTTCTTGAACTTTGTTATTGTACACAAATATTTTCATTTGAAAAACAGGATTGAAAGATATCCTGGACCTTAAAATGAGAGTTTTTTTGGAATTGCAGGGAAGTTTAGCCAATTTAGGCATAGAGATTAAGCTACGTTTTTGAAAGTAATTTTAATTACATAAGTAACATGACTCTATTCATTGTGTAAAACTTAAAACATTATGGATAAAGCAAAGTCCCTTTTGAATGTCACACATAAACTAGTGCTCTTTTCAAAAGTAACCTATATTTCCAGTTTGGTATGTATTTCCCAGGTTTTTGTTTATGCGTTACAGCCATTCATTCATATATACATGTGAATATAATTGTATGCATGTACTAGTAGAGAGGATATGTACTGTTTATGTTTTATTTTCTTTTTTGTAAAAACTGTATGTCTTAAGTTTTTTATTTCAGTTCACATAGCTCTATATTTTCCTTTTGAAATTGTACAGGTTTCATGGTATGGACTTCATATAATTTAGCCAACTTACTTTCTTTCAAATGGCTACCAATATTCCAACACCATTTATTGAGTGGTGAATCATTGATTGAAATGATCTTTCTCACTTACTATCACTATGACTACTGGCCAAAATGTGTAGAGTACATACTAGGACCACCCATTATTCTAAGCACTTTACAAGTATTATCTTCTAATCTTCATAGCCACCCATTTTACAGTTGAGGAATAAGGAATGGGAGGGTAAGTGATTGCTCATTGTAATGCAGCTGCTTAGTAGTGGAGCGTGGACTAGCTCAAAACCTATGCTCCTAATTTTATGTAAGCATGGAAAGTTTGAGTTGACAGATGTGTTTGCCATTTCCCAGCCAGGCTGAGCTAGTAATTGCTTTGATTTTTTTCCCTTTTTGGATCATGATGGAAAACTTAGTATTAGAGGGGTGGAGGCTAAATTGTGGTTATTAAAATTGGAAATAGTCATGGAAATCAAGGGTAAATCCAAAAAAAAAACCCCAGAGTATTTCTCAGGTTTATTCTAACATAATTTCTTGTAACAAAAAGGGATCAGTGTCCTTAACATTTTTAAGGACTGCCATTCAATTCTAAAATTTGGATATATGACAAATTGTATATATAAGTGAGTTTATTAGTTGATTACATGAATGTTCATGACACTAGGAATTTTATTTAATATGGAGATGATTATCAACTACTGTATTATTTACTTATAATACAGTAGAGAATTCCTTATTCTCTTCTTTACTTAGCATAAATGTGACATGATAGAATTATTTTGGGCTTTATAGCCAGACTAACCAGGATTGAAATCCTAGATCTTGAACTTACTATATTTCCTTGGGCCAGTAAATTGAACCTCTCTGAACTTCTGTTTTTTTCATCTTTAAATTAGGTGATAATACTGAGGGGGTGGTATGTATTTAATAAGATAACATTTGTAAAGTTCCTAGCAAGATACATAATATGTGGTAAGTACGCTATTTTAATTTTCTTTTACTTTAAAACATATATATGAAAGTCCTTGACTTAAGTTAATAATTTGCTTTTCCCATTTATATCTCTTATAGAGCTATATAGTAACTTTTATTTGGAAGATTTTGAGTGAAGTACAAAGAAGTAATCCTTAGCTAACTTTTTAAAAATTGACAAGTAAAAATTATATCCTTAGCTAATCTTTATGACTAGGTTTATATCTCAATTATACTTGTCAATTCAGTATCTTTGGGTAACTTATTTCTGTCCTTATGTTCTTTTGTCCAACCATTCCAGGATGTGTAGATAGTTTTTCTAATGAAAGAGTTTTAAGGTCATTTCCATCTGTGAGATGTCATAATTTAAGTGTTTCCTCCTTTGAGATTTCTAAATGTAATTTTTAAATGAGCCACTTAGATACTACATCATTATATAGAATATATTAAGAAGAAGGGTTGAATCAGATGAGCACTGAAGCTCCTCATAACTCTGATATTCTCTCATTCTAGAAAGTGCACATTATCTAAATTTTTTTCCTAGAATAGATATCAAGTTCATTTTCCATTTTTATTAGGTGTTGAGAACCTTGTCTCTGAGTAACTTAGAGTTGTATGCTTTATTTAAAAAATTAAAGTATTTTATATGGTAGTTTGTGAAATATTTGATTCTTACATTTTGCATAATACTTAAGAACTAATTCATTTTTCTAGCAAATAAATACCTTTAATATTGTTTCATTAATAATTTAGAAATTAAATTGTGTCATTTTTCTGCATTGTCATTTATAACTATCAATATATTGTATGTCTACAAAAATGCTGATAGGATTAGCCAATTGAATGCCCGGATGAGAAGTTGTAATAATGAATTCTTAATATTTTAATGGACATATTTGGTATCAAGTCTGCTGCCTGTACGATAAATATATATCTTTGGTTGAATAGAAAAGTCTGTTTTTCAGTTAAGTGATTAAAAATGTAACTTTTACCAACCACATGGAAACTTTTTCATAGCAACTTTATAAAATGAGAATGAATGATGACTTCTGTTGTTTTGATGGCACGAAAAGAGATCTTGAGTTGCAACCATGCAGTGTGTTATAAAATGAATCGGTCGAGTCATTTCTGCCCCTTTTCTCCTCTAGGTGCCGCAGTCGCGGGCATTTACAGAGTAGCAGGGAAGAACATGGCCCCGCTGGAAGCGCTGGTATGGGGCGTGGGACAGACGGTACTAACATTGATCATCTCCTTTTCAAGGATCCTCGCTACACTCTGAGGTTTCTGTGGGGAATGTCATACTTCATATATGGAGACAGATGTGCAGATTCCCTGACAATGGCATAGCTAACAGTGGAAATGAAATTGTTCAGGAATGTGGACCGAGCAGGTCAAAGCATACGGAAGACCTTGAGCTGTGTGCAACGATTGCCCTCTGGTGTTCACGTGATTGCACTACCGCACTGCACCTTACGTGCCTCCGTCCCAGGCAAGGTGCGTTAAGACTGTGTGAAGCTACAAGAAAAAGCACCTTGTTCAGCGCCTATCAGGTTAACATTGGTGTTGAAATCATCGTTCTTAGCAGTGTTGTGTTAAGTTATAGGGACATTTCGAGGAATTTATATATGTGCCAAACTCTTCTTTTTGTTAACACTGATCATGTGACAGTTTGCAAGTGTAGATGTAGATGAGTGCTGTGAACATATTTGACATGAATTCAGGTATAGTAAGATTTTTGTTTTGTAATGCTAAATCCCGTATGAGTGCTAAATTCCGAATTGTTTAGTATGAGAGAAAGCATTTGGTTTTTAATGTTGAGTGTTTGTGGGATTTAGGGCTTTAATATGTTTTGGCATTATTATTATTTAATGTATGTGGAAAATTATAGTCTTTTTCACAGAAGACTAGCTAAACTGTTTTAAGGACTCGGACTAGATCTGTAGGGTGCATACTTTTCACTAACTTAACACCCTTTTAATAGTTCCTCTCATGCATAAATATTCTGTTTATACAAATTAAAAAACTTTATGGGTCACACACATTGATTGTAGTTTGTGTATCATAAAAATATAATTTGAAACTTTTCTTATAAATTTTGTGAGAAAAAAGTCTGAAATGCATGTTGCATTCTTTTACCATTCTAAAGAACGTTTTTGTCTTGTATCTCTTGGAGAAAACTTGTTTATAACTAGTATCTCAGTGGGATTATATTACTTGTTGCATAGATCTTGATTTTTGACAAAACATAAACAATATTTTATTCTGGATTATTAACTATTTTTAGAGAGTGGCCTAAATTAGGCTCTGGAAATAAAAGGCTTCATTTGTAGATAAGTAAAAAGTAAGTTACATAGGTAGAGTAATAAACTGGTTTACCTTGGATATATGGCAACATCATAATTTTACTAAGTAAAAGTTGGTGAATATAATAAATAATTTTGAAATTTGGCAGTTAATCTCAGCATATCTATATAGTACTGAACATGTGTTTGGTTATTCATTTCAGTTGTTTAGTTCTTGTTATATTAAGTTATGATTTAAGTTTATTTAAGTTTATAAGTTATACATAAGTTTGTTAGATGAATCTATAGGGATATTTATTTAAAATGGAAATGTCCTTTGTATAAAACATTTTAAGACGTGTTGGCAATATATAATTGTAAGAATATAGGAAATAGAGGAAACACAGTTTGGTTGACTTGGTCTCCTAATGAGGTTTTCTTTTTTTTTTTTTGGTACCAAGTACAATTATAAATATGCTAACTCAAAGGAAGAACTATAGTAGAGAATATAAAAAATTAATCTGACACCCTAGCCTCACTATTTGGTAATTTGGTATAAGAAGTAGACTTCTTTTAGGACCCATTCAAATCTAACACCTTTGTTACCCCTACCACTTTTTCTCCACCAAAAGCAGAATATATCAGCAACTTACCAACAACGAGTTGGGGAGGGAGTGCTTTTACCAGTAAGGAGCCAATTTGGGGGATTTACTAACAATATGGCTTGGAAATTTGTTTCAAGTAAACAACCGATAAGCAACTATGTGTGGATCTTTGAAGAAAACCTAAAAAATTGATTCTTTTTATTATATACAAGCCTGAAATTATCTTCATGTGTTCTTTATATTCCTGATGTGCTGATGAATTAAATTTAGGCATAACTTTTCCAAGTTAATTTGATTTCTTTTTTCTTTTATACTTGAATTGTGTTCTTCTTTCACTTAGGCTATTTTGTCAAAAATTTAAAGCATTCATATTCTTTCAGAGGAATTGCCAATAACATGTTAAAATTGTTTCAGATCTACAAAATGGATATTTATTTTAACATATGATTATTTAATGGTTTAAGAAAGTTATCATGGAAAGGTAATATGGAGTACATGCTTTGTAATTTAAAATAGCCAGAAAATAGCTTGGACACATTAAAGGTATGAATACATGGACCAAAGAGATTTAAACTCTTGTCTTTACTCTAGAATGAAAGTATAATCGAATGGTTAATAATTAGTTTGTAGAGTGTCCTGCAGTTAGTTATTTCATTGTCATGTTTCATTGCATTATGAATTGGGTGTATAATATATCTCAACTTTTAATTTTAGGGAACATTTTTGGCTTCTTTGCTGTTTTCAGTTATTTCCATTGGAATTTTGTGCGGTTGTCACTGGAAATGCAGTTTAATAGTATGAATTTATGACATTGTTTTAATAGTAATTTATATGCTGAGATGTTTTATAAGTTAGTGATTTTCCTTTAGAGACAAGAAATGGTACATACACACACATACACACACACACATATATCATTATATACATATATAGACAGCTGCTATATGTAATTACGGTCAAATTGGAATGCTTTCGTTCAATGAACACTTTCATATTCTGGTGCAGAATTTGACACATTTGTTCAGTTAAATGATGTTTTAAGTAGTTTGAGAATTTTTAATTTGGGGGACATTGTCTTGGCTTAATAGTACTGGAGACCCTTGTTTGGGATGTGACATAAGTCCTTATTGATAAATTTCAGTTATGCTTTCTTAAGATTTGTATATGACTTAGCAGTAAATTTTATCTGTGACAGGTGCAAGAAGGAAGGGGGAAGATTCCTCTGTAGTTGACACTCCTTTATTTTAAAAAATGCTTAGTAAAATATTGATGATAGTGAAATCATTTTCCCAAAGATGGAACTTCTATAAGCCCAAACATACTGATTAGAGTTAGTCAGAAGGCCTAATTTAAGCTACAAATAATGCTTGAAACCTTTCAAAGAAGGAGGTGCAAGCAATCTGCTCCACAGGACAGTTCCATTGGTTGCCTAGGATGAGGAAGATCCTAAATGATGCCTGTATTCAATGCTTGCAGCTGAATTATTCTTATCGTATCGATCTTAATGTTTACCAAACAGTATTATGGTTTGTTACCCAATGTACTTTCTTAGTATTTGCAGCATACATTTTTATTGAACAAAGCATAAGAGTTTTGTTTGTACTTTAGATACGAGAAATAAAGAAGAATTGGCTTGTATATCTTGTACTTGTGATGTACGGAGCAGGGGTAACTTAAAATTACATTTAGAGAATATATAACAAGGAACATGGAACAGCCACAGTACTGTGTCTAGGCTGATATACCAACCAATTCAATTCTCTCAACATTTTTTTGAGGACTTATGATGTACAAAGTGCTGTACCAAGTATTTTCTGTACAAAGTACAAGGATGATCAAGATAGCATTCCTACCCTTGAATCCACCAGGAGATAGCAAGATGACTTTACATTTTAAAAAATTGATACAACATTTTGCTTACAGATTTTTAGTAGTAAGTTAAAATCCTGTTCTAATTTTCTTGGTTCATCCACTAAATAGGATTTCAATAACTGAGACAACATTACTGTGACCTAGTAAAGAGAATACTAGACCCTAAACCAGCAGCATAGATTCGAATTCAGGCTCTGTCACTTGTCAACTTTTTGATCTTGAGCAAATCATTTAACCTATCTGAGCTTCAGTTCATACTCTGTCAAATGTGATTAATACCTCATGTAGTTATTGGGAGGATTTTGTGAGATTGCTTATGGGTGGCAAAGCAGTATATATTTGATAGCAAATGATGAGTAGTCATGAGTTTTTAAAAATTATATACCAATTGAATATGGTATTTTGTCCAAGTTCACCTATTTTTTTTCACTTTCATATTTTTCCTACATGTATTTTAAGAAGGAAACTAAAGTGTTCTATTAATCTTGCTTTCCTCGTTCCCTTTCCATCCTTTTATTTTTAAAATCAGAAGATACTTGACTAAGAACCTTTTGGGAGTGGGTGTTGGAAATGGCTAGGGTAAGCAGGAGTAATTTAGGACTTCTGTTTGCCACTGGTTAAAATAGGAAAGGGTGGAGGTAGTTAGTGTTTACTTCTTTACCTCATCCTACTTACTTCTGTAGGATTCATTCACCCAACATTCACTGAATCTCAACTACATGCAAATTACTCTCCTTGTTTTAGGGATGAAAAAGTGCACGAGATGACTAGCCTTCCTCTCCCCTGTGTGTTTGCCTTTCTTCTGCTGCCCCAGGCATTCGGCTCCACAGTGTAGTACCAATTCTGTAGGAAACTAGAACTGGGCTTCAGTATCAATCAGGTCCTTCCTTCCATGGATCAAATGTGCTTAAGCCTTAGGTTTTGGGGTTTTTTTTTGTTTAAAAGGAGGTACTAGTGTCTTTAATTTATGTCCATTTTATAATTCAGTAAGTGGCAAGATGCTAACATTACTTTCTGATATATTCTCAAACTACTTCATTCTTGACAGTTACAAATTTTTCTCTCAGAAAGTCTCAATCAGAATCTCCTCAATTGTTACTTGTTTTTAAGGTGTAAGTAACCTGAAAAACGACTGAAAAAATTCTAGTAGATTTAGTTGCAGGAAAATGTGTTAACACTGGTTGGGTAACTGGGGAAATTACTGTTTCTTTGAATAATAAGGAGTGAAACTCTCTGTGGTTAGAATGGGCTCATAATGAAATGGTCTTGTAATCTTTCTTAACTTCCTGTCCTTTTTATAACATCTTGTAAGGAGAACCCTTCAAGATTAAAAAAAAAGGGATATCATTTGATTAAAAATTATAAATTTTCCAAATATGTTGATACCATTTATAGCAGAGAGAAGTTTAAAGACAGAAAGAAATATTGGGTGGGTAACGAACAAAAACAAAAATATATTTGATAAAGTGTCCCATGTTGTGTGAATGTTCCCTCCTTCTATTGAGATCATACACTACACTGTATGAGCATGTGTGCTTTGTTGGTTTACATGTGAGGCTTCACTGACCACAATGTATTTTGAAATCATATTAAAGTGGTGTGTGTGTGTGTGTGTGTGTGTGTGTGTGTGTGTGTGTGTGTGTGTGTGTGTGTGAGAGAGAGAGAGAGAGAGAGAGAGAGAGAGAGAGAGAGAGAGATGGTAGGTTTGCTCTTCTAACTTCTGGATTTCTGTTCCATATAAGTAATACAATGTTGTTAAGAAGGTTGCTGAATTAGTTATCTAAAAATGTATCTGTGAATTTGTTTTGGAGATGTAGCGCTTAATATAAAAAGTATTTTCAGTAAATATGGAGATGAATCAGTTAGTAATTTGTTAAACTAGTGGAAACACTCAAATTTCTGAGTAAAGTAAGTTATGAACTATAACCATCTCTTCCCAGTTTAGGGGACACATTTTCACATTCTTTACATTTATTGCATATCTGCTGAACTTACATAACAACCCTTTCTTGATTTGCACAACTAATTTAACAATTAATCTCCCTCCCCCTTCCATACAAATGTCATATGTTAGAATTTAAACTTCAGTTTGTTGATAGAATCCCAAGTGCTGGTTTAGAAGACAATATTCTTGACACCTATGGTTACGCAGCTATAATCTTATTGGAAAATAAATACTATAAGCAGGTCAGGAAGGTATGAAACTCTTAAATATATGAATAAATTTTTAAATTATATATTACACCCATATATATCTACCCTCAATAGTAGCATTCCTGT